AAGCTCCTTGATCGCGGTGGCGAGAATCACTTCCCGTTCGTTGGATGGCTCTGCACTTCCATCGTGATCGATATCTTCTGAAGCGACATGCAACAGTCGTAACTCCCGCAAGCCCCGAAACGCCCGGTCATTATGTTTGCCGAGTAGGAAGGGAATCAATTGCTTCGTTTCCATAAATCGGCTGTTCCAATCCCAGCTGCGCAGGTGGATCAAGCTCGAATTCATCGATTCGAATAGACTCTCGGGATAGACCCATTTAGACCGCTGTATCTGCCATGGAGCGAGACCAACAATGAAGTCATCTTTGTGATACAGCCGCACTTTCTTTACTTGAGGAGTCCTTTCGATAAGCCTTGGGAGTTCAAAATAACCGAGCATTGGCCCGCTTTTGTGGAGCAACAGGGTCTCAACGTCGACGTGCAACTCTTGGATCTTATTTCTATAGTTGGTTGAAAGTGTCTCCTGCGGCTGACATAGCAGGTTGAGCAGAGCATGGCATTTGATAGGTGTCAGAGGCGGAGAATGGTAGAGGGCAGCCAATGCTGGCTCATGAAAAGCGCGGCACAACAAGGCAACGCTCGCAAGCCATTGCGCCGAACTGTTTCTAGTTGCCGTCTTCTCATCCATCAGAGGATACGATGCACGGAAGAAGATGTCAAACAATATGTGGTAAGGAAGGGTGTGCCAGGGTGGTATGACTCCAGAGCCGACTGGGAGCATGTCATCTGCTTGAACTTTTGGACGCTTGTTGAGTGGTCTACCCAGCTCCAGGCGGTTCTTGGCAGGGGCCCTTTTGGACCTTCTAGTCTGCGACCTAGTTTTCACCGTGCGATTGAGTCTAGGCCGAGAAGATGTGCCATTTCTAGCAGATTGGGGAAACGGATACGTGTATCGAGTTGGAGCTTCAACGGGCACGACGGCTGAAGGGTCCTCGTTAGAAGATCGCTCAAAGTCATCATCTGTAGATTCCTCGCGATAAGAAACGGGGACTCTATTTGAACTGCGTGGACGCAGCGAAAGCGACACTCGTCTTGATCGTTCCTCATCAAAGTCGGTGTCTTCATCCAGCCGATCATCTGAACTGCTATCCTCAAGATATGATTCCACTCGGGTACGACTAGTGCGAATAGGACGGGACAAGCTAGATGGCCTCTGACGGGATGAGCGCATTGAGGAAGACATGATTGCGTAGAGTAGTATTCGCCCTAACTTCCGATAGAAAGTCGGGTCGGCAGCAGATTAACACATGGCGCAACTGTCCGTCAGTTCCTCAAAAACGGAAGTTCAGACACGACCGGGGACGCAGGGGCTAGCATCATGCGTTAGTAAACCAAACGTCAGCAGTAGAGACAATTAAATGAGCGATGATTGAAGGAGATGGACTAGGAAGCGAAGCCTCAGAGGAAGAGAGGAGACGATGAGGTCAGTCGGTGTTGCCGTTCGATTATCGCCCTTGCAGAGGTTTATCGATAAGAGAAAATCAGCATATTCTTCATGCCTGAGGCGCCGGAATTGGCAAAATGTGGCCTAGTGGCGCATGTGACAGCAGCCAAAAGTCCCAGGCACCCACTCCCCCGCCCCCAAGGCCACAACGCTAGCCCCAGACAGGTAACAAGCAGAATCCCCAAAATAGAAACAGTCAGCGGCCTCTCTTTAAGGCGCGAAACGTCCAGCCACTCCATCTCTCTCCTCTCTCCCCCCGTTCCAGGTTGGAACGATGGCGTTTACATGTCCAGATTTGAAATCTTCATCCCGTCGATATCAATGCTGAGTATATATCCGTAAATTGTTCACTCCTTATTGACATATAAGCCGGCATATTTATGCGCTCGATCTGGGCTGGTCCCTGAGTTACATCTGTTCATTGCGTTCAGTCACACTTGGCATCATAGCATCTAGCGCTCTGATTATTCGCATTTGAGCTTTGGCATCTTGGGTGGATCTACTACCAATGCAAATGACTCCGACTTGTCTATTCATACTCAAATCCACTTCGGCCATTCAGAATTCGAAATCAACAAGTCCTTGTTTTCGTTCGTGTCGACTTGTTGATTACTAGCAATGGAAAGCTCGTTCACCAGTGTGATACCACAATCGGAGCCGAATGACATTGGAGGAACACCGGTGGTTATCCAGCAGTATGCGAGATACTCGTCTACGTTGGAGCCAGGGTTACAGAGTGGCTCTTCGTTAGGGAGCGCCCGCAGTCGGTTAGGAGCGTCAAAGTCTCCTCCCCTACATCGCAAAGCGACTCCTCGCAGTCTGCAATCTTCCCCTACTGGATTACGGCCAGTCGTTCCTGCGACGTCGGCTACGCGCTCAGGGCCGTCGATGTCTCCTCCAGTTTATGATACCATTCGTCAGCGACAGGCCAGGGACCCAATGGATCAGGCAGTCTCGCGGGGCCTGCCCTCTCGTGACATTAGAGATGAAACTATCGACGACGCCTACGTGACGTTCATTCTTTATTGTAACCCAAACGTTCCAATGTCCGCAGACACCACCGAGCTTCGAAAGACTTTCCGATCTCCGCCTCGGAGCGATGGCAAGAGCTTCAGCATCTTCACCCTCTGGGAGCTTATTCGAAAGCTGGACAACAAGGAGCTGAAAACGTGGATTCAGTTGGCAATCGAGCTAGGCGTAGAACCCCCTTCGGCAGAGAAGAAGCAAAGTACGCAAAAAGTTCAGCAATATGCGGTGCGACTCAAGGTTCGTTAAGTTGCGCTCGGCCAAAGATGTCGCGAAGGTGCTAATATCTAATAGCGTTGGATGCGCGCAATGCATGTAGATGCCTTTTTTGAATACTGCCTTGGCCATCCTCATCCGTACTACACCCAGCTTCCGGCCTCCAACGCAGCGGTCAGCGACAATCGCGACGGCGTACCACTAGAAGAAGACCTTGCCTTGCGTGCGCTTGTCCCTGAGTGGAAACCCAAACGTGGGCGCAAACGGGCCGACGAAAGGGAGCAAGCTAACGAGAAGCCGGCGAAACGACCTCAGCTGGATACTTCCGTCGGGGTATTGCAGGCAGGTTCATTTGCAGACCAGTCTGCAACGTTTCCGCAGAGCGCCATCCCATTCAGTGCTTTCCCTGACCACGATCCATGGATGACTGCTGCATCATCATTCCCAGCTGATGGCTCTACTGACAACCAGCAAGGCCAAGAGCTTCGGTGGAGACCTCTAGAGCGAGACGCATCGCCTGCTGGATATCCACAGTCAGCGATAATTCCTCGAGGGCATCATCCATCAGAAGTTCTTCTGCCAACGGCAGAGCCACGCTCGGCGATCGATCCGTCCTCTGGTGAAAAGTCGCGATCTCGGAGGCGGCATGGTCCGGCGGTTTCTTCTGCCTGGCCTAACAGCAATGCATCGATCACTGGGAAGACTCGGGGCAGGCCTCCGCAGAGAGGCGTTGTCTCTGGTCCATTCTCCACGTTTCCTGTGAATCCTAGTCGGACTGATTCCAGGCAAAGTCAGGGTCCCGGGTCAAGATCTTCGCCTGCTATTGTGGTAGAGCAGAATTCCACAACTCGCGCAGACTCCCAGTATCAACAGTCGCCCACTCCCTTTCCTCATGCGACTGCCAGACCAAATAAGCTTCAATTACAAGTTCCACAACACTTAGGCGGACCTGTCCGCCTTGCCACCCCACCGACGCTAATGGTAAATGGAATGAGTACTCCGTCTGCCTCCCTTAAGGTGGAACCTAGTCATCGGAACGGCTCTACCGCTCATTCAAGTGACTTATTCGGCGGTAGTACTGTACAAACCGTCATGTCGCATACGCATACCAATTCTCTGTCTGATAACAACGCGACCTTGGACATTAGCCTTGACGATGTCGCCCGTGTCCTATCGGGCGAGTTACTCCGCGCAAAGCTCACAGGCAGAGCAGTACCTCTGAGCGCTGAAGAGGCTCGTTCCTTGGCATTCTCCATCCTGAGGCGTTTGAGTGCTAATTACATACGACTTCCCTCGGGGCTATCGGCTCTCGCGTCAGCTCTTTACCTCGGGCTTGGACCGCATTTTGGCTTTACCAGCCCCGCCCCGAGCTCCATGATGGTGAATGTTGAAAGAGCGCCTATAGCTGCTGGGGACGGTTCAACAATGCCGGCCGATAGGACATCGTCCAATTTCATGTATACGATTTCCCATGAATACAAACACGGTTCTCAATTCTCCACAAAAGTCGTGTACTGCGATGCGGGCATCTCGAATATAGATGTCGGTAAACCTGAGGGATCATCACGAATGACTGATGATATGGACAACAGCGTTATTGAGCTTGACAGTATGACCGATGCGGAATACGAAATCGACGGTGCTGAAAGCACCGTGTCTGAAATGACATGGAAACAGCGTTACATGAAATTGCGAGCACAGATGCAGAAAAGGGAGCGGTCGCTGTCCCAATACAAACGCAAGATTCTCGAGTCGGTGATGGCGGACATATAATAATACGCCAACTTGTTTGCCCTATTCTAAGTCGGCTTGCGCCAGCATGATGTTAATTCGTCTGCATATATCTTCTGAATACTTATTGATACCCTTGGCCTTGCCTTTTTATGCCACCTGGTTATTTTTTTTCAAGTCGATTCTTTGACATGTTATGGTGCCACTTGCAGTAGGCGCGATCTTGTGACGCTAGGTTTTGAAGTTCGAGTTGTGCTATAGATACCCCCTATGCAAATGATATGCTTAAGATATGACGCGAAATCCTCCACCTCGGCGTAGAACATGAAAGCATAGATAGGGCTTCGTATTTCCTCGTGACCTATGAAAACCACTTGCGCCATGAAATATGATTGAACGCGAAAACACCAACTTGCAAGTCACAACTGCATCCAGAATATGAGGTCAATAGAAGAAACCAGACGTCCAGTTCCCAGATTTTGTAAAACGATATCATGCTGCAACAGCAGCCCGAGGCCGAAAACAGTGAATCAAGCTACCTCCTCAGTCTCATTGTCCACACCACGTCCGTCGCCCTCGGAGTTTCAAAACTGGTCAAACAGGGTCTCACTGTCGACAGCAGTCGCATAACCCTGCTCTTCAGCATCGGACACCTCTTCCTCTTTCACAGGGCTCAACCTCTGCTCAACCAGTCTCTCTGCGCTCACAACGACAGTCTCCTTCGTCACCCGGACTTTCTTGGTTCCGGTCTTGCTACCCTCCCCTGCAGGCTTGCGCTTCGCGGGTGAACTCGAGCTCTCACACTCGCCCGCCTGCTTGGCTTTGGTCTTCTTAAGAGGACCAGCCTTGGCAGGTTTGGTTTTCTTGGGAGTAGAGTCTAGAGAACCTATTGCCGCGTCGGCTTCGGATCCGGTGGTGGTCGTGGTAGAGGTCGTGGTCCCGTTCGCTACTTCATTGTAGGCCTTGATCAAGCGTTCGTAGCGTTTTGCGCTGGTGGATGGTTAGTTCTCAGGGGTGAAAATGTTAGGCAGGTGCTTGTGACGTACGCGGCTCCTTTGCTGACGATGTTGCATTCTTTGGCGACTTCACTGAAGTCCACCTGGGATCTAGTTAATTGAGGTGATTCAAAGGAGGCTGGGTTCGGAGGCGGGAGGAGAGGAGATGGGCCTCACCTTGCCGCTGTTTGAGTAGCGGATGCAGCTTAAGAGGAACTGGACTGTTTCGTCGGGGTTTGTGGGTGTCATTTTGCTTCTTTGGCTGGTGAATTGGTGTTTTGAATGGTAGATGTGGGTATGGTGTTGAAGTTTGGGTGGTATATGGAGAGAGGTGAGGAAGTTGTCGAGAGGAGGAGTCTGTAGAGAGGATAAATAGAGCGAGGAGCTAGAGCGAGTGACCTCGAGGATTCGAAGACAGAGGTGAGTGAAAGGTGTTATGAGAGGCAGATCGACACAGACCCCAAAAGGATGACGAGATGGTCAAGAGAGGGGATGCAAGAGATGAGTGAATAGGTGAAGTAGGTCATGTCACCTATTCAAAGCTTCTGAAACAGTCAAGAGACAAGGTGACTTGCTTCTCAAGTGTTTCTAGGTCATGGAAAATAAGTATTGAAGTCGGGGATGAAAGTTGGAAGAGTCTATTGTTTCCGGATTCGACTTGCGTCTGTATAGTGCCTCTATCGAGGGTGCATTGATTGGTAATAGATCTTGGATAAGCTCTTTAGAGATTCATCGTATATTATTGAACAGTCATCAATGAATGATCTGTCATTTGTTTTTTAACATAATAGGGCACCTATTCTAGACCTAAGGACGAGCTCCGAACAAATTCAAGGCTCAGAACTTCTCGGTAGAAAGATAGTGTCACAGAAGAAAACAACAAGGTCAAAGATCAAAATATGAATTTTGCAGCTTATTGCCCGCATCCTCCGGAATCCCAGTCTTTACCAGTTCAATAGCAGTAGCTGTTTCCGCCCTAAGGTCGTTCGTCGCGGTGATCAGAAAGGTGGAAGAGTGTACCTGTCTCGTACCTACACTATCAGCCATGGCCTTGTTATATGGGAGACGACGTGACAACTTACAGTAGCAAGCCACTCTACAGGTCCTTTAGGCTTCAGCTTTGATAGCGTCGCCCTCCATCTTCACGTCTTCGTTGTCCTTTTTGACCTGAATCTCGACAGACTCCATGACGGCGGGCTGCTGGGCGACGGCCTGCTTGCCCTTGCCTCTTGGACCACGCTTCCCGGCAGGCTTCTTGGAAGGAGAGGAAGAGCCATCGGCGCTCACCGGACCAGTGGCGGGAATTGGCTTTGAGTTAGCCTTGGCTCCCTTGCGAGCAGCAGGCTTGCGAGCAGGCTTGGAGGGAGAGGACTGGACAGTCTCGCCAGAAGACGAAGCATCCTCATCACCCGCAGTACCATCTTTGGCAGCTTCACCAATAGCACCGGTTTTGCCAGCCTTGGTCGGGGTAGAGGAGAATTTGCACTCCAGGTTTGGGAATCCGTAGCGCTTGCTCAGGGTGCGAAGACGGTTGCGGGCTGATAGAACATTGCTGTACTTGAAGGCAACGGCAACTTTACTGATGTCGACCTGCTGCGTTGTTAGGGGTATTATTCTGTAGAAGATAAACTATGAAAATTCCTCCTGACTGACCTGCTTAGAATCGTTGAGATGCTTGAGGCATTCAATGATGAAATGGGCATCGGCACTGTTGATATCCTCGCCGTTGGTCTCGGGGTTGGTGGACATTTTCAGTGAAATGAAAGTATTAATACTTTTAAACACATCTTTGGGGAAGCTAACAGAATTTCCAGGTAGTGAGAGTGCCTGAAGGGAAAGTTGAATGAGTTGACGTACAGACAAGGCAAGGTGTGATACGGGTTATGTGCGTGGCATTGAGAAGAACAAAACAAGATCACAGATGAAGATGAGTGTGGTAGGGAGTGATAGCTGGAAAGAAGAACAGAAAGAAGGGGACACACGTACACAGCACATTATTTATAATAGCACGCCGAGAGATAGGGACTAATGATCGTTACGGCAACGCAGAACTGAGTCGAACTGCAGTCGAACTGAATATCGATGCTGAGTGACGGACCAGACCACAGGTAAAGTGAGGCCCAGAAAAGAAACTCAGTAAGTCGACTCTCACATCAAGTCAATCCGTACGACACTAGACTGTCTCTATCCTTCATTCTGCTGTATGTCCTCTGTTGGAAGACTAAGAAACGGTTCAGATATGGCTCATAGCCCAACCAGAACCTGAAAAAGATTAACTGACGTGATAGTCACTAGTCGTGGTTATGAACACCAAGGGATAGTATAGTTAATTAGCTAGTCAACCTTGATTGGGCTAGAGAATACAATTGCAACGCCAATTATGTCAAATCATAGGTCCATTTCGCACATCCAGAATCAAAAGAACATAAGCCAATTATCTTAACGCCTCACCATAAGTCATGCAAAGGATGTTATCTTCATCACGAATCCACTCAACTACTCTCCTCTAGGCTTTGTCAAATCCTCTTCTATTGTTCTTCCTGGGGCGGTTCAACTTTCACGGGTCGTTCATGCATGTTGTCTCCGGCTTCCAGTTCGGGTTCAGGCTCAGGCTCGGTCTTGACAGGAGCCCATGTACTTGGGCGGGCCTGCTGATGAAAGGTCACAGGCGGCGAGGGTGGGAAAGCAGGGACAGGCGCATACATGGTCAAAGTCCCCGGGGCCGCAGTCACTGGCGTGTACGGAACCATCTGGGTTTGGATAGGCTGCGGATGCACCACTTGAGTGGAGACATGAGGAACGTCTGCTAGATTCTGAACTTCGTGACCGTATGGATCGAACTTAATGTATGGGTTTGACTCGTACGCCGGCCCCGCATTTTCTTGCTTTACAGGCGGCTGAGGGGAGCCCTTGTCCTTCAGCAGACCGGCTTTGCTGGCAATTCCCTTGCCAGTCTTTGCGGGGCTTTTCTTGGGGCGAGAGGAGCGCGGTGTAGACGTGATTCCTTCCATTTGCTGTCGAAATCGGGAGTAACGCATCCGAGCAGCGTGGCCGTTGGAAATTTCAAGCTGCGACGCAACGAGGTTCCAGTCAATCTGTGGAGGCGCATTGTTAGCTGCAGTCCACACTCCTGGGAGCGCAAGAGGAAGACTGCTCGACTCACAGATTTCAAGTCCAATTGCTTGATAATTGTGTAGAGAAACTTGGCAGTAGGGCCATCAGTTGGCATCGCCTTGCTGCGTCTGACGGTTGTCATGGCTGACTTGGGAGCAAATGGTTTACTGATGAGACGGTATCAAGCAGAAAGCCAGCAGTAGAAGGTCCAGTTGTGCTTGGGAATTCGGGATATTGAGATTGATGGAGGAAGATGCACCCTCTTGCACTGATGCTGGATATATAAGCCTCTGGTATTGGATTAGGCCAACAGGAGAAAATACTGTTGTTGTCCGCCATAACGGCTTCTTGCAGCAACAAAGAAGCTGTCTAGGCATGAGTGGACGAAGAAATAGACAAAGCAAGTGGAGTCGATTTTTGGGGGTTCTGGTCGAATTGGATAGAGAGTAGTTGGAGGCTGTAGCTATGTCTTCGTGTCGTTCAAAGGAGAATCTTCCCGCAAATAAGATTCCCACTCATGGATCTGGTTTCTCGTCGATGAAGTCAACCGCTTGGCTTGTGAGGATATATTTTGCTACAGAAACATCGGAGAGAATACTTCTCCCATTCTCAATTTATTCAATATTGTGCTCATGCCTCATGCTACTGACATGGGATCATTCCAATCCTTCTGGATTGCATTGAAAAGAGTTGCTATATGACCAAACAGGACAGCCTTCTTTGTGATCACGGCATAATATCTTTAAGACAAAGATGGATGCGCGGCTCTTCTGAAGAAATTCTCAGGACTTACAGCAGTCATATTACAGTTTCTAATGGCTTCAGACATAATGAAGGATCATGGTGCATTTGTTGCAACGAAGACAGTATATACCTGTCATGCCAGCTCGATACCTACAATGCTTGTCAATGTGACAGGTCAGATCCTGTAGTGTAGGTGGGAATCTCTTCAAAATTCTACTACAGGAAAAATCATCCATTGCGCAAGCTAACAGAGTTATCTCAAGCAAATAGCCTCACTGCGTATGGTTTTGTTTCAATTCGGTAGCACCCAATCTACCTGGCTGTCAGGGCAGTCGAGATATATTCTAGTCCTCCTGGAGCTGTAGTCCATGATAGCAACCATACATGGTTCCTGCAGCTCCAGCTCCGCTATTTTGTATCAGTCTCGAGCTAATCCTGCATCCTGAATTGCTTTTTATTATAGCATCTTCCACCGTGGTATCAGCACGCGTTCGCGTCTCAACGCGCTTGATGGCCATTATGCTCTTTTCGAACCGGGTATAAGTAATTGAGCTGATGACTCCCTCCATCGTTCTTTTGCAAAATCAACTTCCTCCATTAAATTATCGTTGCTCAGCTTTCCAATCGACTTCCTGTCTCTTAAGCCCGTTCAACTTGAGGCTTTGTTGAATCTTGATCGGCAACATCCAACAATGCCTTCATCTCGAATAAAATGGGACGACTGGAAGGACAAGGTGATGCTAATGGCAGTGTTCGAGCAAATGAACATGACCTCTCCCGACTTCAAGCGGCTTTCCAAAGTGATGTGTGGAGATTACAGTGCGGATGCTTTGAAGTATGACCATCATTCAATGCAAGTCGAAGAGCGAAGAGTGCTAATAAGTGCTGCCGAACCTACAGAAACCGCTTCAGGACAGTCAACAAAGAAGCTGCAGCTATATTGCGTGATCGCCAGCGTCATGCCGAATCTCGAGAAATAACAGCCGAGACACTTCCCATGATGTCCGGAGCTGTGAACGGTTCAGACGATAACGATGTAATCGTGGTCCGAGGGGTTGCACTACGAAGCGAGCTTACGCCCCCTCCGAGCGAGCCGTCCCCAAGCATGCAATCAAGACACTATCCTCCACAGGCACAGAGAGCCATGCCGGAAGTTATCACGCCGGATTCTCAGCCTTCCAGCATTGGTTGCCACACTCTGAGCAACGACGTACAATACCAGCAGCACTCGAGTTTGAACTACGATTCAAATGTACATCCAGCACGCCGCCCCCAGTGCTCCCACGATACAACCTCCCCGGCTCGCCCGTACAATCATCCTCGTAACTCTCCTCAAATAACGTCAGGCGGACGTGATTTTCCTCGCAGACAGCAAGATCGGAGCTGGGACCAGAGTCACAGGACGAAGAATACTGGTGGAAGGCCTTTCAAGGCCCGAAATCAAAACAACCGTCAGCGCAATATGCCCCAGATGACCCGAGTCGAAATAAATCATGGACCTGTACATACCAGATTTTAAAAGTGAAGCATTTGCGTCTTGATGCATGTATAGAATGTTAGCGATGTATTTATTGCGACTGATGGTACTCTGTTTGTATACATAGGGACACTTCAAAGTCATAAGTTTTCTAGCTTACATTGATTCAACATAGAGCCCCTGATTGATGGTGCGGTCAGCTTCTATTTATGTTCATTTGATGCGAGTCAGGCCCTTCTCCTCTCTACATCAGCATCCGTAAACCTGCTTTTCGAGAGCGCAAATGGGCAACTTGCCAGGCTTTTGTAGGCCGCGCTGTTGCAACAGTTACGCATACAGTGGCAACGTTGATAAATCGTCTATATTACGAGTAGAAGGCATTTTTTTTACTCAGGAATCACTGGAGTGAATGCATCTTCATGATGTTAGGGCTAGACGGAGGAAATATATACCGGCATAATGTATATTAGCACGGTTGATGATTGCTGTACTTCATTTTTCCTCACTACTTGTACTGTTTTTGTTCAGATGCAATGTTGAAGATGCAGCACACTACTGGTTTTACTAGCTAGAAACGGTTGTATGGACACCTTTTCAGCTGAGTGGTTTTAGTGTAGTCGACGTGCGATGTCCTAAAGTGGGAAGCCTGGTCGAAAAGATAGGATCTTAGAACTGTAAGTGGGATATTACGTGTTTTCTTTAATGAACTTATTCCTGGATGACAACAGCTGACACGGCCTGCTAGTTTACTGAGATCCTAGTCTGATCTGGGGAGAGACGTGGATCAGTAGAACAGGGAGGGGAGCTCGCAAGGAGATGCTCTATGATATGGTGCCTACTATCTCTCCATATCATCATTCCCACCTGGTCAGGAAGGGAAAAGAAAGGAACTGCGGTGGTTAAGAGAAGCTAACTGCAGAGTAGGTCTCAGTGTATCCAGCAGGGCCATGGACCAGTGATCAACTTAGGTCAAAAAGATATTCTTAGCACCAGCAATGTGGCTGCGCATAGGAATAGGGCTGGTGAAGTGCCATGCTATGAAGCCCACGATGGAAAATTTCACACCATTCTCTCGGCGCTGGTTATTTAAACCAAGCTGGGCGTCTTCTGCTTCTCTCTCTTTCAAATGCTCAACTATCATATCATAGCAGATCTTTGACCGTTCACAACAAATCATTTGACCGATTGAATATCACCAACCACCAATACAAACAATGGTATCTGCTAAGAGAAAAGGCCTGGAAGGCGAGGATGACAGCGCCAGTCATCAGCCGAAGAAGGGCACTGGAAGAAAGCGAGGTGCAAAAAAGCAGAAGACTCTGTCGTCTGCACCCGCCCAAGCTACCTCAGCTGCTGCAGATGGCTCTGTGTTTCCCCAAACCGAGGCTTCTGTAGCGTCCAGTGATCAGGAGTTGCAGACCCCAGAAACCCCCACCCAGAAGCCTTCCAAACTTTGGACCAACGAACTTAGGATCGCCTTGCTTGTCGCCGTTCTGAAGGAACTCGATCACACGATTTCGGAGAAGACCTGGCATCAGGTTGCTGAAAACCTCAAACCAATGAAGCCTAATATCTCTTGGAATGGCGCTCGGTAAGTCTTGTTTTCTACATTGCGTGAACACATCACCTTGATACATCATCCCTTCTGAGAGTTTATCTCCGCTCTTGTAGAAAGATTCTACACTATCTGTGACCATCCTTCTTGACCTGGGATTGCTGACGGACCTGAGATTGCTGACGTATTGAAAGCTTGGAGTTCGGCCGTCTTAAAAGAGAACATTGCCCCCATACTGCGCCCACACCGACCGGCCGACATGATCAGCCCGCTCAAAACCCGAAGGACGAGGATTAAGATCTTGAGGCAGAAGCTCCCTAAAATTAGTAAGTACATCTCAATTTGACGGCGCATTTAAATCTGCCCTAACATGTGCTGGCCAGGCAACTCTGCTCAATTACGTTGAGGATATCTTTTGAGCAGTTTGATCACCGCCGTTTCCCTGAGGGCGTTCCACAATGTTCTAACGGTAGTAAAAGGATCATTCGGGCGATGATGGGTTGGGGATAGTTATGGAGTAGACAGATGTCTCTCAACAACTCCTAGTGCTTGGCTTTGTATCTTGAAGTCCTTAGCTGTTAATTGAAGTACGTTGTTTGCTTGTCTTTTTATGTACCACCCTGGCCATGAGATTGTATCAAAAACGTATCTGCAATGTTAGATTCGCAGATAATAAGTACTTGGAAACCCGCAGGTACCATTTTTCATTCCAGCAGGTGCCATACTTTCGGTGTCGATGCTGATGATGTCGCCTGTGGGGCATGACTAATATGCGAATCGACAACCTCTTCTCAAACTCTCAATTCTTCCCACACGTCAGGTCACTGCAGTTTCCTTTCTGCCACTTGAGAGTCTTGAAATATAGCGCTGTTCAAAGTCGGGAAAATGTCGTTGGTTGCAGTAGGTGCATGTTATGTTGACACAATCTTGACGTTGGTTGGAAACTCGTCCCCACATCTTGTTGACAAACCAACACCAGCTTACCGTTAAAATGCAGAACTCCTCATTACCCGGGAGAAGATGAGAAGTTGCGTGCTTCTAGTATTTCTCATCGCCGCGGAGGAAACTGTCCAAATACCTTGGAGGTGCTGCAGCAATTGATAGCACACAGCAAGGCAACCTCAAAGGTGCCATTGAACCTTGTCGCAGTTCTGCCCGCGAAGGCATCTGTTGCATCGCAGCAGATCCTGGCAGGCTTTGGGCCTGGAGTTCAACTCGAGCATTGCATATATCGGGAACAATTCAATGAACCAGCATCGAGTTATATCATTAAAAGTCAAGCGTCCGGAAGCAGGACGATTGTCAACTACAATGAGCTCCCAGAAATGACTGTCGAGGAATTTACAGCAATTGCAGATAAGATTGGCTCCAATGCCACTTGGTTTCACTTCGAGGTTCGCGACTTTCACTTTCTGAAGCATTTAGGATACTCATGTTCAATTCGTAGGGTCGGATACCAGAGGTAACATTGGCATGCATGCGTTATCTACGTCAATGCTATCCTTCAACCAAGATCAGCGTCGAAGCCGAGAAACCTGGGCGGCCGGGTCTTCAGGAGCTTGCAAATGAGGCAGACGTGATTTTCTACTCGAAGAGCTGGGCTCAAGTATGAGTGCTTCTACAACCATCAATAGCCTCTCAGGCAGCATCTGCTAAACTTTTGTCCAGGGACAAGGCTACGAGTCGGCCGAGGAATGCCTTCGAAAGCAGAGGCCCATGACACGCAATGCGTAAGAGAGCCCTTAGGCCTTATCCATGGGTGCAGTGGTTGACTGAAATACTTTGATTAGGTCTTTCCTGTGTTGTACCTGGGGAGAAGACGGGGCTGTTGCCCTAGACACTCAAGCTGGTGAACTGTTGCACAGTCCTGCGTACACAGCACCAGACTTTGAGGTCGTAGAGTAAGTCGATCTCCTGAAGGTATTTGGCAGAAATACTGATGAATGCAAGTACTATTGGAGCTGGTGATACGTTCATAGCCGGAATGTTGTATGCTTGGCTCTGCCAGGGAAATTGGGACCTCGCGAAGAAGATACACTTCGCAAACCGGGTTGCGGGCATGAAAGTCGGACAGGAAGGCTTTTCTGGTCTGGACAAGGCACTGGAGTCATTTTGAAAGCAAACATTCAGAAAACGTGCAGGATCTGTTTTACGACCGTGTATGTCTCATCAAACAATGCCGTGCTTGAAGCTGGAATCCGTGTTGTAGAACAATATTGGCTGCTATATCTTTGCGCAAATCCTTCCGTCGCCAAAGTACAGCCTAGCCATGATATAGAAGAACGTTCCCACCGCAAGCATACTCCCTGTGAAAACTTGCAGGTTCAGGTAGCTCCCCTGGGCAGCAGACAACAGAGCACTACCAACGGGACTGCCGATTAACGCAGCAACGGACATCAATGCGTTCATTGAGTCGCTACGAACGCCAATCTCTCGGATATCCGAAATCTGCGCCACCAGTGCGGGGCCGATGGCCGTGTAGGTTCCTGAGCTAAAGCCAGATAGACCAGCGAACACTATTCTTATTCTGGCTGAGTGAGCTGGAACACATAGAGCAATGACAATGATGGTTGACAGTGCTGCTGCACGCGCCGCACAAATATTCCTGGACTCGAGCGTACTAACTTTCCAGCGCCGAAGACGATGGTTGCTGCGATCTTTCGATGTTAAGTTTACCGAACCTGTTTGCAACGTATCCTGGGAGAATACGGCCAATACCACTATCATCCTATTGTCAGCAAGAGCTAAGATGTCACATTCAAGGGGGAATCAAGGAAATCTACCTGGCTGCATTAAAAATTGGGACCAGGTACCCGGCTAATCCGGCCTCCATAGCCATGTGTTCTCCATAGGTCACCGTGAAGGTGATAGGAATGAACATGCCATTGAGTATAAGAAGCTTGCTAATGCTGTAAGGAGGACTGCTTTTTCCTTAAACGGTCGTAGATATGTCCCAAATCTTGCCGGTTGGGGCTGAGGTGGTAGTCGCAAACGCACAGTTAAATTGACCATAATAAGCAAACCCAACACCACAAATGCACAGATGCGAATGGTCCAGACGAATCCAATTCGGCCCATTACGCATTCGACCAATATGGGCAGAAGGACGCCCCGTAAGCTGGACCGGCTCGCCACAATGCCCATGGCCAGGGCGCGCCTGTTTTTAAAAGGCAACTGACGCCGGAAAGAGGAGCTCATACAGATGTGCATGACACTGAAAACTGGGCGAGTTTGCCCGGATTCCAAGTGTGGCTTTTACCGCGCCATAAACCAGCTGTGAACAATCCTTGAAAGAGCAAATTTTGGGGGTGTCTCGCTTGGAATGATTGGACATAGAGACATTTGCAATCCTGCGGACGTAGTCCCAGTTTATTCTACAGCTGTGCGCAAATTGAGTGGCCCATTTGGCCAAGCAAACCAAGCTCATCAAACATCCGAGTGGGCTTTTACTGATGGTATGACTTTTACAGAGATCATAACTCAAGACATGGGTGGGCTATTTGGTTGTCTGGAGGAGAGCTTTCCGGGCACGGACAGCCTTTTTACGGATCACCTGAGTGGTGGGAGTTCTAAGAATTCAGTATTTCGCAGAGACCATGAACTTTAGGCCTAGATTGAGGATCATATACAATATGTCATTACCACTTTTGGTTCTAACACACTTCAGTCGGCATTTTATTGGTAGGGGGCGTCTACTGCACTACCGGTAGATGGCCAACCGTGGATGACGTTAGATCTTGGAAGGTGGGAGCTGCCCGCCTCGGCACTTTATGCGCCAACGCTGTTCTCAGACCCACCGCTGAATAGAGGGATGGTACTGCAGCACCACGAGTTACTCTGGACAAGAGTACAAAAATTAGCCGGTGTTGTCTAGGAACAGAAGCTGGCATTTTCGCTGGCTGAAGCGCTGAACTTCAGCGGCTGTGTCGCGCTTGCGCTCGTCGTCTCCCTCAGTGACGATTCAAGACCTATCGCTTGCCCCTCAAAAGCTCTTACGAAACCAACCCTGGCGGCTCAAGATGGTATGAAATGCCCCGCAAGTGGACCGCAGCACACATTGTCTCGCGTTGCAGAATAGCAGAATGCCTTTGTATCCCAGACATGATACAGCCACGGCGCTAATTCGACCAATCAGACAGGTGTGCCTCACGGTCTTTAATCAAAACTGAGAGCTGGTATTTGAACTCGCAGCTACCCTCGCTTCGGCTGGGAGCATTTATTTGCACTTAACTTCCTGCTTCAACTTCACTAGAGGAGAGTATAAGGCCCAGTCCACTGCCGACTCGAAAATGGCGGATCCTTTGAGCATTACCGCTTCAGTGGTGGCTGTTATCACAGCCGCCGTTCAATCAACGAGGTCGCTCTATGAAACCGTCCAGCGCTACAGAGACCGCAACAAAACTCTACGTAGGCTCCAAGATGAGCTGGAGGATCTCATCAATATTTTGGACTCGTTGACAGAAGTGACTAATGCGGAGACCTCAATGTTGGCACTTCTGAAAGGTCCTATTGATCGATGCAGCCAAATATGCCACGAGTTCGAACAATCGATGAAAGCTTTCAGTGGGAAATCGAAGACGGGTTTTCGAGATTGGACAAAGATGGAGTTCATGAGGGGAGATATCAATGAATTCATAGACACTATCGCAGGGTATAAGTCAACTATCTCAGTCGGTCTGGGCACTATTACTATGTCAGTCGCAATTTCTCATCTACAATCGGTCTCTGCTGACGTCTTCTCATAAGGCATACCTCCAAAGTCTCCCAGCAAGTTCTGCAAGAGTATAATGAGATGATCAAGGACACAGTATATAACCTTGAGGTCCATTTACAGCAAATTGATGAGAAAATGGCACGACTAACGGTCGAGAACACTATTACCTCTGACATAAGCATAGACTTGAACGACGAGAGAGAAGTGACCAAACAATGTCTTCGTATTTGTGAAGACGCAAGGTCTTTTATTGAATCCTTGACAAATCGAGAACCGTCTCTACGACTGGAGCCGGGCCAGAATGCTACGGAAGACGAGATGCGAGATTTCTTTGAAGCACAGTTGCTAACACGCCAAACTCTGGATAAAAATCGAGAGAGCTTCGCAGAGATCATTGGCCGCCTCCAGGGACGCTTAGAGTCCCTGATTCTTCACGGTGATTCTGGAAACGACAAGGAGAGATTGCGATTACAGGAGGATATCAATATCTCGAAGCAGTGCCTAGAGGTGTGCAAAGTGGCTAGCGAAGTTTCCCGTCAGAAGATATACAGAATTGGGGAGGTGATTGCCGATGGGGACAGCGATCAAGTAGTGGTGACTACCTTAGCGGACCTGTTCGATATCAAGAAAGCGCAGTCCAAGGGCAATTCAGCCCAATTGGTTGGGTCAATGACGGACGAGTCTCTCCGGCATCTGGCTGAGAAGCGTTATAGCAGTCGTTTCGGAGCTGTATCTAGTGGCTCCAACCCTGCTGGAACTGTCACCATCAGCTCGCCTTCAGCCACGGGGACTCAAAGGAGTAAACATACTTCTCCAATTCAAACTGGCAATGAGGAGCAGTCTCCCGGACCGAGAACGAGGCATGATAAGCCGTCTCCCAACGAGATGAGGAAAAGGGGAATGGGCGGCGCAACGGATTAAGGCTGATGCTGATGTCAATGCTAAATAGGATTGAATTTTTCGAGCCGAGGCATTATTCTATTCCGAAAGAGGTGACTACTCGTACCGGTGAATATTCTTCAATGGACGTCAAAGCTAGCATTGCATGCACTACACAGGCAACATCGACAGTACAGCCTAGTGGCTCAAGCAAATATGAGTAGACTTATACTCCCAATAGTCCTATTATGAAATGCCCTAGCAAAGTTGACTGGATTGAGATATACCGTCAGATCGTCTCAATTTGCTATAACCGATTCAAAAGGGATCGAGACAACCACGGCTCCACTTAGAGGCAGGGATAGATTTTTAAAGCTCATTCGACGGCAGCTGCAGCCTGTAATAGATCTGCAAGATGGACAACAGAGATACATAGTTAGGCTGCAAGGCCAGCGTGGTATTAACGTCCTCGCACTCTTTCCAGAGCGATTTCTTCATCTTTGCGTACATTCTCCAGTTTGACAAGCTCTTACTCTTACTGAATCTGGATAGGCTTTATCCTTTGAGCCTTACCTGCTGGATTCACTTAATACAACATAGCTGAGCTGCTTCAATTGTCTTTAGGTTTACTGACATTGTTGGACGCAGTACTCGTTATCGCCTCGTGCATGAACACCTCCAATAGTGCACCTGATATACCTCAACAGCTTCAACTATGCAATTTCTAGAATGCTATGCATGAAATAGTCTAAAATCGAACTAAGACCACACGATTCCTAGTTCCCGATCTGCTATGGCAGCCCGAAACTCCTCAATATCATCACCGCGCTCATTCATCACCCACTGGAGAGTATCTCCGAATGTCTCTCCATTATCACGAAACCAATCGCCCAAGGACCGTATGAAGGCTTCAACTTGCTCTTTCATGGGCGCATGTTCGCGCAACCAGAGGACCTGCCCGGGGTCAAGCTTCATCATATCCTGGACTACATAATAATGCGGAATTTCATCTCCCCAACCTTCGAAGCCGGGGTCGTGAAAGAAGTCATTGCGGAATCTCGATCTGTACTTTGCGGGTGATTCAGTGCTACTTGTGGGGTGAGCGGAATAGAAGTACTGATTGACTGTGTGGTCAGCCTTGTCAGGCCATTCGCTCGTTCTCGGATAGTTCAGATGAATATTAAATGATAGCTGGTGATTGCTCTCGGGATACCGCTTGCGGAACTTCCGCTGGATAGTCCCGTTGCTGGGACAGATGTGATTTTGCACGATGTCGGTGATGATCAGCCGAATGTCCTCAACCTCGGCAAGTTCGACAGTGGACCAGTTGTGCAGAAGCTGGGCACGCTCAGAGACGACGTGACGAAGTTTACGCGAGAAACGGTCAAAGTTGGAAGTATGGAAAGCGCGATGATATAGCCACAAGCGATAAATAGCACGGCGCAAACGAAACCGTTCATCGTCGGTCAGGGAACGCCGATTCTCGAAATCGACCTTCCATTTCTTGACCGGGTAGATCGCCTCCCATTTCCGCGCGACGAGTCCGACCTGCACTACCTGTCGGAGAAGCGACTCGGACATGGGAACATGGCGGAGGATGTGTGCTGGTTGGCTTGCGTTGTGTGTTACAAGCTGGACGATCTCGTCTAGAGGTCCAAACTCGTAGTCCGCGATATCAATTAGAATTTGCAGCTTGTGGGATTGGTTAAAGACACGGCGAAGCCTTCGGCAGGTGGATGCAAGATTGAGAACATCAGAAACGCTCTCGCAAGAGCGAAATATGTGGAGCAAAAGCTCCGTTGCCAGACGATCCATCGATATGAGGGTGATATATTCTGTTACCAAGTAACATGTCAGCACAGCAAACGGGAGAGTAGCGTATAATTTCTGAAGTACCTAATAGAAATCTTCGTAATCAATCTAGAGCCCGATATGCGTGAAGGCCGGGAGAAGCGCCCAACCTTGACAGCGTCTTGATATCAATGAGTCAACGCCGCCGCCGTCGCAAACAAGGGTATGAATTCAGGTGCAAACCCCGCCGTTGGGGCTGACAGAAGATGAAGCGATCTGATTTAGAGCAAGCATGCTGAGGAGCATCGTAGGTGATGCGAAACGAGTATCGCGCAGCCGCGAACGACTGGATGGCAAATGCGCCGCCATGATGGTGGACGGAGAAAGCTAGAGTCGGAGTATATACAGGAGGTCCAACCCCGATTTATAGTTAACTATAGGCCCCGCTTATCTAATCTGCGCCCCTTGCTTTACCAAAATTCCCCTCACTCTTGGGTCGAAATGTTGTCAAATATTTGGTATAACTATCCGTATGATTGCCTCAAATGATTCTTGTTTCCATACAGATATCCTCTCTGGATGATTAAACGAGTTCATCCCTCTGTTGGGAAACAAAACAAGTCTATTTAGATGTAATGTTCCATTACCTGCTACATAAGTTAATCGGAATTTGGGAATACAAGCCACCAAATCTAGGTAACGATGGAGAGCATAAGAAACTTTTAAATTATCTTCAAACCTAGACGCCACAGAATGAACCGAAACAATGTACCCCTCACATCACATGTACATCCCCTCAGGATATCAAGTCTAATGCTCATGGAAGAAAAGAGACAGAAACGACAAGTGGACCGAAATCGGAATCATGATGACCATAAGAGCTTTTAAGAAAACAGGCTCTTGGTGTCGAGAGGACCTGGCTTTCTCTCGCCTTCTGCTAAGCCCAACATAGAGCGTTTCGAAATCAAATTGGTTTGAACATCCCGACGCTTCGCGTAACGCGCCGCCTTGCTCACACGGATCTCACTGCGGACTTGGTTGGGGCTCACATACTCCTTGTTCTCGTAGATGACAGGGCCACCGAAACTGCCCTCAAGAATGACGATTGGCGTAAGGACAAAGCGAGGTCCAATCTCAACAAGGGAGATCTCAGGTTGAGCATTCTTGCCCTTGGGGGTGGGCTTGCTGTTCTCATCGTCCTTTTTGGCTCCACCTTCGGACTCTCTAATCTCATAGACTCGAATCCAAATCTTGCCATCCACGCCAAAGACACCAATGACGCGGTCAACAAAAGGCTTCATGCCCTTGACACCACGCTTGGGGACACAGAAAACTCCACGTAGCATTTCCCTGATCAATCCGCGGTACTCGTTTCCCGGGCTGCTCATAACCGGACCCTGTTCGTCAAACGACTGATCGAAAACGACAATGCCCCGGCCACCCTTCAAACAGTTACCGCTAAATCCAGTGTTCAATTCACCCATAGTGTGCAGGTTGGTGAGGTGAAACTTGATGGTAGGTCCGTTGGGAGGACGAGCCAGCCACAGATACAAATCTTGACCGCGCTTGCGTGCTTCGAGGAAGAAAATGACGTTGCATGAGTGGAGGTCTGCGAGGGAGTTCAGGAGTAGGTTGTAACCGGCCGTCTTCTTTTTCGTATCTAATTTGCTTTCTTTGTGCGTGTGAGGGAGCAAACCGCAGAGATCGGAGAGCAGATGTCGATGGCTAGAATCGCTCGTCAGCGTCTGAAACGGTCAAGTCCGAAGTGGCTAGCAAATCCTGAGCATACCGATATGTCACACCTCTTGAAGTCAACATGAGAACACGAGACTTCGGCATGAATCCAGCGGCGAGCTGCTTCTTGGCCGCTTCCGCAGTGTGCTCATCTTCGTCTTCGTCGCTGTCGCTTGTATCGTCGGCTCCAGCGAGAAGATCTTCCATCTCCATGTCTACCTCATCCTGATCTTCGGCAATTTGCCGAGCCTTCTTCTTAGACACTGTCTTGTATACTGCAGCCATTATGATTGGAATAGAATATTTCGGTTGAGCTTTTTGGGTTGCTGTTCGTCGCAGAGAAAAGATCCACGAGGATACCGAAAAGATGCTGGCAGAATATTTTTTAAAATTCACCGCCTTTGGGGTAAAAGGTCACGTGCACAACAATAGGTAAAAGTTCTTGGCATGCCCGTATAGAGAGGCCTCGATACATTCCCAAATTCATGATCGATCATCACAGTTTCTGTGTTTCTGACGCCAGTTGAAACGATCCTTGCTACCAATTGCCAACTTGGATTTTTCGTGTACTACAGCACGGATCCATATTTGGGACAATCTCTCTTTTGAATATTCTGTATGCCCTTCTCTCGGCAATCGTCTGTCAGATAGCTGCCCTTGATCTTGCAACCGCTTGGGCCTGTCATACTCTAGTATTTGGGTGAAGCTTAGTGTTCTACTTCGCGGAAATCCAATCATAGATTTGCTGGGGGGAAAAGTTTCGGCAAAGAATCATGATCATGGGTTGATAATCTGGCGCATACAAAGATTATTGAAGTCTGTTATCACTGGAGGCACGTGAGACCTTCCCACCAAGTCATATCTGACTCGCCTAATAATAATATCTTAGCCTCATAAGATATCTCTTATGACAGTTGGCACTTGACGCCGAGGCTATCCGCATCTGGAGACGAACATCCGAGTCTGGACTTTCCCAGCCTCTGACCGACTCGCTTGCACCACCACCCCTGAGAAGCCGAACGAACGCGCCAGCCTCACTCTAGATAAGCCAGCAGGGCCTTGAAACTCGAGCTAAGTAGCGAGGCTTGCGCGCACGAATGAGCAGTGCCTGGGTGGGGGGTCGCTACGGACTAGCACCCTCTCTCAGTCAAGGGCTTAGTCGACCTGAGTTGAAGCTTGAAGTTCAACCTGTTCTTTCGTCGTAGATGATAATAATCTCGAGCAGTGACTATGATTACTATGGCAGTAGACTACGGAGTACTTGAGGCGACGTATTCGGTTTATGGAAGGCAGGACAGAAGCTGCCATCGGGGAATTTCAGTGTTGGTGTATTAGATAGCGGATTGGCGTCGCGTGGGTCGCTCCACTGTTTAGGAAGGTGGAGCTCGGCCCACTAAATGTCGATGCTAATTTACAGTTTAGTCTACATCACAGGCTTGAGGCTCGCAAGTCACAAGTCAGGTCGTAATTGCGGTTCAAAATGCCCAAATAATTGATATCTATCTAGAACAATGATTGAGAAGTGCGAAGTGACGTTGGAATGACCATTTGAACCCATATCGCCGAACCAATGATTGCATACAACCCACCCATCCTCGTCGACGCCTGTGAACAGAACTACCTTCCATGGACCATCGTTGTCATACCAAGGACAAGCGAACAAAAGTGATGAGGGACCTAACGAAATAAAGTTGTGAAAGACAAGGGCAGAAAAGGAAAGTGTTCAGAAGAAAGAAGAGTCAATTTCGTAGTTAGGGCGAATTAGGACAAAAAAGGGAATAGAAGATGTCGACAACATAATGTCCTGGGAGTAATGATCGCCTACAGTGCCCATGCCCCTGAATTGCCGTTCCCAACGTTCCTCTTGTGTATCATATCCGTGGAGGCTAAGTAACAGACAAAAAGAAAGATCAAGACCATTCAATTATCACATTGCAGAGTAAAAAATCGTTCCGACAGGCGTGGCTTCCCTTACAGCAGCAAATCCGGCGATTTCTAACAGCAGCCTTGCTTCGACTCAGTATCCGGAGCCTTGCTGACTTCAATCGTGCGGCCACTGCTGAGGGGGGCTTGGCCGGAGTCACCATTATCCAAAGCCTTGCTGGAGACGATGCGGTAGATTTCTAGTAACATGTGAGTCCAGTGAGACAAGGAGCCATGAATAGAAGGAGCGAACCTGTGAGGATGTTTTGGAAAGCAAGCTCAACATTGCTTGCGTCGAGCGCAGATGTTTCGATGAAAGAGAGGTTGTTCTCGCCTGTTGCGTTCCGAGAAAATGTAAGTAAATCCGTGCATGAGTGGCTGACTGGACAATGAACATACTCGCAAATTGCTTAGCCTCATCTGTAGGCACGGCGCGAAGGTGTCTCAAATCACTCTTGTTCCCGACGAGCATGATGACGATGTTGGAATCGGCGTGGTCACGGAGTTCCTTCAACCAGCGGTTGACATTGTCGTAGGTCTGGTGTTTGCTGATATCGTACACAAGAAGGGCACCGACGGCGCCACGGTAATAGGCAGATGTAATGGCACGATAGCGTTCTTGACCAGCAGTATCCCAGATCTGCGCCTTGATCGTCTTGGAATCCACCTGGATTGAGCGGGTTGCGAACTCGACACCAATGGTAGACTTGGAGTCAAGGTTGAACTCGTTGCGGGTGAATCGACTCAGAAGGTTGGACTTGCCAACACCGGAATCCCCAATAAGCACCACTATTCAAACGGTCGTCGCAGATTAGTTATAGGGTCTTTGAGGGGAGTATGATGCCGAAAACATGAAACTTGCGGCGACTGCGCGGGGAAAGTGGCAACATTACCCTTGAAGAGAAACTATTCCGAATACTCAGATTAGCGACATAGAAACTTGGCATAGATAGTGGGCGATAGAGGAGTCACTCACATCATATTCATCGTTAGCCATGGTGGGTAAGCAGTATGTGAGCTAATTCGCTCTACGAAGAGTTTCTGAGGAGATTCGACGTGGCCGACTGGAGGTCGTAGGAACTGTAAGGGACAATGGGACCAAATTAAGCCCTGGAGACGTAAGACGGTCAGCTCTCGGATCGATGAACAGCAATAGATGCGAAAGAAATTGCAGAGAAATAGTAACACTTACAGAAAAAAGAGCAAGGTGGGAAGAAAGATAGGAGTTATCTTAATGCCTCTGGGGATGAAGCGTCCTTGTCTCCCTACTGCTTCCCGTGCTTGTTGCGGTGCCGAGTGGACGCTTCCTATTCGGGCCTAGTGACAAATCACGTGATAGTCCCCTCTGCGTGTGCCAGTCCCTAGGC